GCCTTGAATGTTGAAGAGCTCATTACATAGATTAGGTGAGGCTACTGACCCATACAATGTAGACTGCTTGGGAAATCAAGTGATATACTGTATATGTGTCTAGAATTGTATTTAACCTCATTCAATAGACAGTGCTTATTATATGCTAAATATTCTCCCTAGCTCCATAAAACATATAAATTTAAACAAAATATAGAATGAACTTCCAAATTTCCTTGAAGGAATTTGGAATTTGCAAAGGCAGAAATATAAGCGAGTAATTGTATGAAAACAGATGCAGAACACAAAAAATATTTAGCTGCAAGATATATTCAAAAATGACCAGAAAGGGTAAAAATTCTCATCACATTCAGTGAGTGATGGACAGAGTTGGAAATACTTAGTGCCTCAATTGGATTGATATGCACAACATATAACAGTTGTATGTGTGTTGAGCTACCATAGTGCACCATATAAAGCGTAAAATAAAAAATTAAAGAGACAATGACCTTAATCAGGGAAGATCTGTTATCACGACTATTGTTATTACTGTGTTGATAAGCAATTCAAAACTACCATGTGGATGGAAGACTTTTCATCCAATCTGGAATCGAGCTCCTAGTAGAATACCTCGGTGTTTGAGAATAAGGAGATAGCCCTTGAATAAAATAGTCTCTTAACCCTATTTCAAAAATTTCTATGAAAAATATGGAGGAAAGTACAAATGCCTGCTAGATCATTCATAGTCTACATCAGGACAATTGGCTGTTGATTTACAGCATAGTTTGGGCTGCTGGAAGATGGTTCAGAGGGTAAAGCACTTGCTTTGCAAGAATGAGGACCTGAGCTCTGTTTTGAGCATCCACATGACAAGTGGGACATGATGGCATGTAACAAAAATCCCAGAAATAGGGAGGAGACAAGTGGATTTCTGAGACTTGTTGGTAAGCCAAACATCAACCAAATTCAGTGAGAGATCCTCTTTCAAAACGTAAGTTGGGGATCTACAAAAAAAAACCCAAAACCCAACAACTCCACAGTTGAAGTTGAAGTCCACATTTGGCATGTCCTAACACACATGTGCACCTATACATGAATAGATACATGTGCCCAACAGAGACAGTACATGCCTGTTCATGTGTGTATATTCTATTAACTTTTATGGGGTAGAACATGAGATCTCAGGACTAAATTATTTCTGAGAATTTGTGAATGTCTAACTTGAAGACATGGAAAATCTCTATTTACCTTGTTCATTACAGAAATTATAACAGGACTATGTCACCTGTCTGATTGTGGGAATACTTGTTCACCCCACAATTTGATTTCTGATTTTATGATGACCCTAAGAGTGTTCTGTGGTGATACTTTGTGATGTAGCATAGCTTTTCTGAAGATCAGAGAAGCAGAGCAACCAGCCACTAATTCTTACCTGTGCTTAATCCTCAGACCAAAGAGGCGATCCTCTCCTTATGGAGGATCCTCAGACTGAATGCTCTGAGCTTCTGTCTCCTCTTGCTTATATTTCTCTCTCTGTTCAGTCATATCACTCCTTTCTCCACCTCCCTACTGCTGCGATTAAAGGCATGTGATCTCAAGTGCTGGAATCAAAGGTATGAGCCCTGTTTCTCTTTTAGACCAATTCAATTTCATATAATTCAGGGTGGCCTTGAACTCACAGAGATCTGTCTGCCTCTTTCTCCCAAGTACTGAAATTAAAGGTGTGTACCACCACTGCCTGACCTCTATGGCTAACTAGTGTGGGTAGCTTTAATGGGTTTGCTGTGGGTCCCTGGCAGTTCCAGGTAGGGACTGCACACAAGACCATGCAGCAGAAAGGTGGCTGGTCCCCAGCAAGCATCGTGGATGGCTGGCTGGTCCCTGGCAAAAGACAGTGGGTCCCGGGATGGTGCAATTCCCAGCAGTGGGCAGTCCTAGGCAGGGACGGCGCACGAGACCATGCAGCAGATCTCCAGGTCTCCATGTGGTGGTGGGGGGCAGGCAAGAGAGAGACGGTTAGGCACACCATACAGAGTGGAGTTGGACATTTATTTAGGGATTATGGAAGGGAAGGGAGTAGGGCAGAAAGGGAGGGAGTGAGAGACGCAGAGAGAGAGAGAGAGAAAGAGAAAGAGGGAGGGAAGGAGGGAGGGAGGGAGAGAGAGAGAGAGAGAGAGAGAGAGAGAGAGAGAGAGAGAAAGAGAGAGAGAGAGAGGAGAGACCGAAGCTGCCTCTCCGAAAGAGAGAGCCAGAAAAGAGAGAGAAGAGAGAGACAGAAGCAGGGGAATGGGAGAAGTGGGGAGAGAGGCTGAAACTGCCTCTCCAAGAGGAAGACAGAAATGAGAGAGAGCTCCAGAAGCTGAGGATCAGCCTGCCTCAGAGGATGGGGGAAGGACTGGGCGTGGCTTGTCTCTTAATGAGACAGAACAATAATTATAGTAGCTCCACACCCTGATCTTCAGTCTTTGTTACATCACAACCAAAATATCACCACAGTGTTCATGAGACTCCAATGAGTAATAAACCTGAAGTATTTATATCAATAAACCTTACAATTGCTTTGGTAAATCAAGAAACAAATTGTGTATCATAAAGACATGTACTATCTTAAGCCAGTGTGGTTCTAAACTATATAACAAAATGAAAAAAAAATGTGTTAATCAAGCTAACACCTATCATGATGTTCATTCTCACCTGATAAGAGTTCAGGATAGTGGCAACAAGGCCTTCCATCTACACAGTGCAGTGAAGTGTCTTCAGTGGCTTACCTGGAGGGATTCCAACTTGCTGCCCTTGCTGTGTATTGAAACAGACCCCATCACAAGTCACCGGTAGGAATACCTCTCTCATTAATTATCACACACGACTTTTTCTCTAATTGATAACAGGTCCTCACAGTCTTTCTCTTTCCACTCCTGTCATTCTTCAGCAGTCAGGCTTCAAAATGTTATTTATTCAACAAAATTAGTCCTCTAGTATTTCAAACTAGGTTCATATGTTAGTTTTTAAATATTAGCCTGATTTCTGAGATAACTTGCTTGCAAGAAAAGAAGCTTATTTTGGCCCATAATTTCAGAAATTTAAAAAGATGATTTTTTCCTAAAAAAAAAGTTGTGTGTCTGACACAGAGACTCACAACTGAATCATGGGCTGAGAGTGAGAGTCTTTGAGCACTCAGTTCTAAATGGAATGTCTTCATCAGACATCTGCTTTCAAAGCTCAGGGAGCTATGTGGAAGGAAAGGCAGAAAGACTTTAAGAGTCAGAGGTGAGGGATGACTTCGAGGACAGAGCATTATCCATATACCACAGGGCAGATGCACACATGAACTCGTCATCCATATATAACAGGGCTGATGCACACATGAAGTCATCCATATACAGCATGGCTGATGCACATGTGAACCCATCATTCATATACAACAGGACTGATGCACACATGAACTCGTCATCCATATACAGCAGGGCTGATGCACATACAAACTCATCAACCATATTCAGAAGGACCGATGCACACACGAACTCATCAACCATATACAACAGGGCTCATGAACACATGAACTCTTTATCCGTATACAGAAGGACTGATGCACACATGAACTCTTTATCCATATACAGCAGGATTGATGCACACATGAACTCTTTATCCATACACTGCAGGACTGATGCACACATGAACTCTTTATCCATATACAGCAGGACTGATGCACACATGAACTCTTTATCCATATACTGCAGGACTGATGCACACATGAACTCTTTATCCATATACTGCAGGACTGATGCACACATGAACTCATAGAGAGGTGACAGCATGCACGAGATCTGCACAGGTTCAAACTACAAAAAAAAATTGAGCACTGACCAGGAGAAGTGAGCACCAGTCTCACATCTAAACATGAAGCCATCTACAACTGTTGCCTTCTGGGAAAGGGGAAAATCAGGTTTTTCTAATGGTTTGTCACTGGGCATATGAACCACACTCCAGGGCAGGTCCCATGCCCAGGAATAATTGGTCAACAAAAGACAAGGGTCCCATTTTTGTGGCTTTTTTTCTTTTTTCTATTTTTTTGTTTTATTGTTTGTTTTTATTTTCATTTTCTTTTGGAGAGAAAGAGTGAGAGAAAGAGATATACAGAGATACAGGAGGGAACATGAACTTGGATGGGTAGGAAGGTGAGAAAAAGGTGGGAGGAGCTGGTGCATGGGAAATGTGATCAAACTATATTGTATCATTTTTTTAAAATAAAAACTTCAAAAAAAGATATTGGAAAAACAAACAAAGCCATCAAACGAACTAACCAACCAATCAAACAAACAAACCCCAAACTGACCTCTTATCTTCTAGGGAGAGCATTCTGTCTCACACATGACACTTGTCTGATATCAATACTCTAACAGTATAAAAATGGTCAACATCATTTACATAAACTGAATAAGGGATAGCCTTGAAGAAGAAAGAGGGGGTCAGAAAGCAGTTCAAATGGTGTGAGAAAGGGAAAAAAGGGATAGACTGACCTTAATGAATTCAACTTAAATACCTATCTGTAGTGTTTCAACAGCAACTTGACTATTGTAGGCCCTGTCTCTGTCCCAACAGCAAAAGGCTTGTCAGCAAAACCTCCACGTCTGTCACAAAACTGATCACTCAGTGTGCTTGGAAGGACCTGAGATCTGGCTGGAGGCAAACAGGACAGTATGGGTCTGGAGACACGGACTGACTTTTACAAAAATCTCCCTCTGAAGATGTGAACAGAGCAGGCTGAAGGGCTGGGGTGTTTTTCAGCACCCCATCTTCTGAAACACAGACTTGTTCTCTTCTGATACTTTTTAATAAATGAGGTAAAGCTGACAATTGTCTGGCATGTCTTCAGCTAGGGGAAGACTGGTCTTTACCTGTTATGTGGCTTTAGGAAAATGACAGAATTACTTCATTTTAATTATGAAAATATGGAAACTGCATTAACAGTGGCTGTTGAAAGGTTAACTATCCTAAATTAAACCAAGGGATAAAGGGAGAGGAGAAGTTAGAGAAAGAGAAAGTGCTAGAGATGGAGGGAAGGCCCTGACACTGTTTCTGAGTTCCAGAGATACCCGCCTGATTAGAGGGCTGGCAGTTGGCTCGTGGGTGTATTCATCTTACATTGAAGTGAAGCCTTATGTTGCAGAGGTGGCCTTGTGCAGCTGCTTCTCAAAGATAAGGGAGGAACTGGAGCGCTTCTTGGAAATGCCAGGTCTTTACGTTTATTCCTTCTAAAACTTAGTTTTATTCTTCATTATGTTTGTAAATGTACCGCCGCTTGCTGAGCTTAGGCATTTGATGACATTATAATTGGACAATGGGCCGCTGATGGGCTACTAAAGTCTAATGACAGCTCAATGATTCTACTACCTAACCTCAAAAGCCAATCTTTCTCCTTCTAAAACTGGATGCTTTTTTTTTTTGCCTAATTGAATTTGGAGCTTTTTAATGAAGTGTTTCAAGTATTATATCACAGAAACATCAACAATTATTTGCACAAATGAGTTAGAAATAATTCATAGTACACAAAACAAATACAGATATCTACTCATTCTACAATCGTGGCAATAGTTTGATATTAATCTTTCTGGTCTCCTGCTATTTATTTACACAATAAATTTTCTCATACATTTGTCTTGTTTTAAAATATTAAAATATGGCATTTTTTTCTATGTATTAATTTTGGTATTTTTCCCAGTATGACCTTGTACTCCTAAGCTCTGATCCTTGTACTTCAGCATCTTCAGTAACTAGGACCATAGGCCTTTCTCATGACATCTAGCCTCATGATATATGAATCGAACCCAGAGGGCTTGCTCGGCAGGCACCCTCCCACTGTGTTACATTACCTGGGTACAGCATAGCATGTCGAAAAGAGAACAAGACAGGTCAACTATTAGGTGATAAGAAGGGAATGGATGCAGATGAGGAGCACATGAATCATGAAGGAGGATACAAAGCTATGATTTTCTCGTTTTAACTCTGCCATGGAGATCTTCCCCCCTTGGTAGAAGACAAGTGTATATCAAATATATATTTGATAGTGAATGCATAAAAATCCAGTGTGAAGCTTCAGCATAGCTGACTGAAGCTCACTGAGATTCGTAGACTTTGTATATGGCTAAATTTATGGCATCCTCTTTTGAAAGTTCGTTAGCACAAAAAATCCCCATCGGCAACTAACAACGCTTTAGGCTACTGTAAATTTTTATTGGAGACTATGACTCAAGGGATACAAAGCTGCATTCTGAAACTTCATGCATGCAAGCCTAAATGAAAGGGTACTTTAGAGTATGCAGTATAAAACAGAGTTGAGAATGGTAGCCCTTGTATCCAGATAGCACAGCCCAACTGCAATCTCCATGTGATATGTGGACTTGGGCAAGCTTCTGTCAGTGGTTTTTATTTCTCTAAAAGTTGGAGATAAAAATTACTCCACACTGTCCAAATTATTTATTGTTATCATCAGAATATTGCTATACATTCGAGTCTTCACAAATTAAAGAGAAAAGGTCACTTAAAGCATTTGTCATACATTGGTCCTTTCTAGTCTATTCACACCCAAGATTACTTTGAAGAAATTTTAAAACAAGACATTTGCTCTCAATGTGAGCAGTCAGCGTGGGACCCACATCTTTTATCCCTTCTCTGCTTGAGTTCTGTCTCCATCAGTTGAATTCTTTGATCCACAGTTTGCAGAATTTAAGGGACAGCCATACAAACATTGCAGTGACATGACAGCAGATGCCTGGGTGGAACTTTCCTTCCTGTTTTGGGTCTTTGGTTGATTCTATGAGCTTCTGAATATCCTTCCAAAAGATACTGCTTCTTCCTCAGAGACGACGTAGTTTCTGTAGTTAGTGACTGAGGTTCTGATGTCATAGCATCCTCCCTGCACCATTCCTTGACTTATTAGTTGCCTATAGCATTGTTGAGAATTTCCCATGTACTGACAGAAAGCTGCATGAGCTGCTATATCTCCTTGACACACTTGGAGGGATGCTCAGATGCAACACATCTCTTCTTATTTGTCCTGAGTAGACTGCTAGGGATTGCAGGATTTGACATTGAGCTCAGAGGGTTTTTATAAGGCAGAACCATGAGGTTATATAAACACAGACATTATTTCTGGGGCAAAAAAGAAATTGCAATCACCCACATCCCCTCTAGCTTGTATACTCTTTCCCACTCTTTTCTAAAATGATTCCTGAACCTTAGGACACACACACACACACAAACACCCTTTTAGGGATGAAAATCCTTTAATCTCTAATTTTATGAACTTTGATCAATTGTAGGTCACCATATTAATCACCATCTACTTCATATAGAAGGGTCTCAGAAGAGGGTTGAATGATGCATTGATATTTGCATGTAGCCATAAGCCATTAGGTGCTGATTTAATATTATGTTCATTTATCAGCCTAACAATACAGATACTCTTAGAGTCTAAGACCTGGATGAATAGGTTCTAGCCCTATAGTGGTACTATGTATAAGTTTTATCTTGTAGAGAAAGCTTTAAATCCAAGTAGAAAGTACTTGGTTACTTCCATGATGTTCATGCCACTATTACATCACTGGGCATATCTTGAGTGAGTGGATACTGGGGATGAATCTGGAAAAAGTTGAGGGAGGGGACTGAATATGATCAAAACACACTGTATGAAATTTACAAAGAACTAATAAAAAAATTAAAAAATGCATCACTTAATGGTAAATAGGAATCTAAGTGTCTGTCAGTCTGTGTTCTAAAAAAGTATTCTGGAACCAATAAGTATTAACTTTTGCAATCATTTTTACACACAGAAAAGAAGATCAGCAGGAATGTTTAAGTATACATTACTTGGTAATTTCTATTTATGCTGTGTTTCCTTTTGTCTCGCTCAGGCACTGATCACCTGGGTCCCATTATGTAGCCCAGGGCTTTGAACTCTAGATGACATTCCTGCCTTTGCCTGCCCCGATATGGGATGCCAGGTGTGCTGCTGGCTTTTCTGAGGAGACCCTTCTGAACTGTTACTGGGTAATTATTATGCCTTTCCCTCACCAAGACTTATGCTTTTAGAAGTGCATCTGTTTATTTTGCTCTGACCCAAGTCAAGACCGACTTCTCAATGCAGGGGTATATGACTTAACTTGTTTTGACTTCAGATTCCAGCTCGAAGGATCAACTCATTTAGAACCTGACATTCCACAAAGATTAACTGATCCATCCAGTTAGGTGAGTTGAGCTTCTGATGAACAGCCTAGCCTCTTGTGTTCTGATTTAGAGATGACTACAGTGAGAAGGAAGACCCTCACCACACAGCTACACAGTGCCAACAGGCAGCAAGAAACATACTAGTGAACACATTCTAAGCTATTAAAGTTATATATTGTAATAGATACAACTTTATTGACATTCTGGAATGGGTAGGTTGATTCATTTAAACACGCCAGTTAATTACTAAGACTTTACCATCATAAACGGTATTAATCAAACCAGCTAAATGTTTCAAGACCTGGTGATTTGTCTATGACTCACTGTTCTTGCAGGAGGCTAGTTGGAAGAATGAAAGCAGTTTTGAGAGGCAAGGCTCTCAAAAGAGGAGAAAAGATTGGCCCAGTACCAGGTACTAGATACCAGGAAATAAGGCAAAGAGGGGAGAGGGAGGGAGGGAGACAGGGAAGGAGGGATTTGGAGAGGAAAAAATTATCTATTGTAGCTAATAACATGCCCATCCTTTAGAACACATAAACACTCTAAGGGCAGACATCATACCTTATTGGTTCTCATGTCTCCACGACTCATCACAGTCTCTACTTTGTAGAGGTTCAGGTTCAGGTGCAGTTTGTTAATGTTTAAGACATGATGAGGGAAGACAGAAAATACAAACAAAACCGGCAGATAACACAACACTGACATTATTATATCACCAGATCCTGAGCAGAGAATCTTTGGTTGCATGTTAAAGAAGCTTTGTGTTAGTCCCCTGACAGAAAAGACGCTCTAACAATCAAATGGCAGGTGTAGACAACACTGGGTATAAAGGTATATAGTATATAAATGGCTTCCTTGTCTAACTGTGCACAGGGCCGATTATTGTCATATGAAGTAGTCCGGGTGACAGCAATGCTGCTTGAAATCAACTGTCTGCACCTTGCATTATAATTAGTTTTACATTATTGCATCACTACTATATTATCGTGTGACTATTGCAATGTTCTCGACATCAAAATTCCTCTCTGTGTGGAGTCACAGAGGATTTTAGTGACATTGTGTGTGCCCCTTATTCAAATAATTTATTTCTGTGAAAAACTGAGAGATTTCTGGAACCCACCTTCTTATCAGGATTCTTCCAGGAAAGATCATATGTTTCTAATTTCCTGCACTGGTGAATGGCAAGGTATTAAATGTGTGATTATATTTTGAATAGTGGGACAAATTCCTTCCATCTGAACCTGATGTTTGACACTTTACAAGGACTAAGTGGAGCCCTGAACTGCTTTATAAGAGTTCCCATTTAGATGGGAACGTGTCTTCCCATTTAGATATTTTCACACCCATGCAGTATTTCATTCAGATAATCGTCCAGTTTATCAGAGCGTATGTTGAAACTCATATTCCATTAAGTTAAAAAATCTACAGGAAATGGAAAAACTCCTAGGCGGAAATGATTTGCCAAAAATTAACCCAAAAAGACAAAAAATAACATACAGAAGGAGCTGGAAAGATGGCTCTGCTGGTAAAGTGTTTGCTTCACAACAGTGGGGCCTAAGTTGAATCTCCAGAGGTCATGCAAAAAAACTAGGCATGGCGGCACCCATTTGTAACCCTGTTACCAGGGAGGAGGAGAAAGAGGGAGCTCTTCCATCCACTGACAGGCCAGCTCACTCCACTAATTGCAGGTCGATCAGAAACTCTGTTTACAAAAAGGTGAAATGATACTTGTAGCTCTGTGCACAGATATGCACCCACACAAACACACACACACATAAAATGCAATAACCATATGAAGAGAGTAGGAACAAAAAGTGGTCAACCTCCCCACCTCTTCTCCATGAGACACAGAGAAGCAGGCATGAGCGAACTTCATTGATTTAACGTCTTTGATCTCCTTCTCTAAGGAATGAACTAACTGTCCTCCTTTTTTACTCCCTGAGCCTGTATCATTTATAGTCCTGTTGCGAAGACCTGACCACACATTGTCCACTAGTGAAGGAAAACTAGCTGCTCAACCCAAAGATAGAAACCTTTGTCAGGAATCTCAGGTATTCAGAAGGTGAGCCAGCTACCATTCTTAAATTTTCTGACCACAAAACTTTTAAAGGTTTCTCTGTAGCTTTGGTGCCTGTCCTGGAACTAGCTCTTGTAGACCAGGCTGGCCTTGATCTCACAGAGATCTGCCTGCGTATGTCTTCTGAGTGCTGGAATTGAAGACATGTTGCCACCACCGACCGGCTCAGGGAGAATCTGTAAACAAAAACACAGAACTCTTTGGCATTGGATGCATTGTTGGCGCCACACTGCACGATTCTGAAATTTTCAGTAAGACTTCCCTGATTTTAGTTGCCGATTCTGAAGGTCTTCACTCAGGCATCCTGGAAATGCTTCTCTGTCTTCCTGAACTTTCAAACTTGTGATATATCTCCTTTTCCTCTTCCTAGAGCACGGTCATGTAAACAGATATTGATTCCCCTCAGGCCTCAACAAATGGCATAGCAAAGTAGGACTTCACTTTTCCCCGGGGAAAATATTCAAGAATTTATTGGTAATGTCCTTCAGAGAGCTGGTTGAGCAAGGGTTGGAGAGAGAAGGTTCCTATGAGGAAGAACCCTTACTCTGAGGGCATAAAGCTTTGTGACGTCGCCCCCACGTGGCGGCAGGAGGCGGTTACCATCGCACGCAGTGGGAAGGGTGAAGGGCCGGTTCCCTCTGAACCATGAAGCTCTGTGCTGTGAAGCCCTGGTAAATATTAGGGCACAATGGGAGATACGATGTGACCATGGTAGGGAAAATGGGTGAATCTAGTGAAGAGAATGATGTGTGGAGTGAGGGACTATCAGCCGATTCAACGACAACTATTAGCTCCCTTTCTTTCTTTTTTCTTTTTTTTTTTTTATTAAAAATTTCCACCTCCTTCCATTTTCCTCCCCCTACTCTCCCTCCCCCCTCCCAGTCCAAAGAGCTGTCAGGGTTCCCTGCCCTGTGGGAAGTCCAAGGTCCTCCCTCCTCCATCCAGGTCTAGGAAGGTGGTAGCTCCCTTTCTTAACAAGAATCCTCTAGAGATTTCCCCTGACTTTAAAAGAGAAATCGTCCTGTCTATATGCTTTCTACTGAGTCACAGAGGGAGCATAGAGCTATCACTTTTCTAAAGTCAAATTAAAAAGGTCAGTTTTTTATTTTGTGGATTTGCATTTATATGGCTATAGCATTGAGATCTGGATCATTCATTCTTCTGAACTTGTCATTGACTTCCATGTGAAGCTATAGTCATCAAACACCAATGCGTGTAGTTCAGACTGTTGGAGTTATAGACAACATCTTTTAAAAATGTGAAGACTGAGTACTAGATCAAAGGGGACAACTGTACACAGCGCAGTTTTCTGGGTGGTAGCCAGCCCGTGGTCACTGAACTTGTTAGGAAGCAGACTTTTAGCCCAATTGTGGTGGTACGTGCCCTTAATCCTAGCACTTAGGAGGCAGAGGCAGGGGATCTCTGTGAGTTCGAGGCCAGCTTGGTCTACAGAGCGAGTTCCAAGGCAGACTCCAAAGCTATGCAGAGAAACCTTGTTTTTCCCTGTATTAAGGAGGACCAGGCCTCTAGCACTTGAAACTCTTGTAGACTTAGATGTACTGCCATCTGGGGGACCAGGCTCCAGAAGCACAGGGCTTTGACAGGCATATCCAAAAACAAACAAAAAAGTAAAAAAAGAAAAAAATATTTTATTTATATGACATTGTGGGGACAATGTCTATAAGCCTGTTTTTATAGCTTTGTTTCAAACACTGTTTCCATCTTCTAGGACAATGAAAGCACACATCACACTCCTGATATTTTAGAAGAACCATGTCATTCTGATTCTAGACCACCAAAAGGAAGGACAAGGTATTGTTCCCATTTCATGTAGGAAGGGTAAAATGATGATCAAAGTTTCAACTAAGTATGAATGTAGGTATCAAGAATAAAATAGAAAGTGAGGGGGTATATAAAACATTTTTTTCTTGAACAGATTTTCAGCAATGATGTTCTTCCTCAGACTTAATGAAGATGACTGCAGTTTTGAATTGGCAACAATATAGGAGTGGATTGTGAGGCCTCCTGGTCTACTAGATTTTAGAATTATGGATTATATGCTGTAGACACACTGAGTGACTTAGCTATATAAAATCTTCAGACTCATGTATATGCCTTTCAATGAGGATACAATTAATTCATTTTCCCTGTGTTAAGGAGGACCAGGCCTCTAGCACTTGAATCTCTTGTAGACTTAGATGTACTGCCAACTGGGGGACCAGTCTCCAGAAGCACAGGGCCTTGACAGGCATATCCAGAATTGGTGAGGCTAAACTTTTCTATCTGATGGGGGTTAGGAAAAAAAGGCATATACAAACTCTCCTAATAGTTTCCTTCTTTATTCTTTCTCTTCTTTATTCTCTCTCTCTTTGGTTTTTCTCTCTCCTCTCATGTTGTTTTACAGTTTTTATACCCCAACAAAATCTTCCAGGCAGTACAAGAGTCAAAACAGTTGTAATTCATTTTTCAAGTGAATGGTTATAGGTAAAAACATGTTTTTTGTCTCTCTCATATGGTTAAACATTTTATATGCTACAGGTAAAAAACAAATTATCCCAAGAAATTTAATATAGATTAACCATGCAGCAAACAAAGTGCTTTTGTCAGGTCTTTTACTGGAAGGCTACATTTTGCAGTTAAAAAGAAAGGGCCAATTTGTAGATGGAGACTGTTCTTTTGCTCCTAGCCACCCAGACTCAAATAATAACACAGAAACTATATTAATCACAACACTGTTTGACCCCCTTAGCCCAGGCTTCTTACTAGTTAATGCTTACACCTTAAATTAACCTATTCCTATTAATCTGTGTATCACCATGAGGCTGGGGCCTACTGGTAAGGTTCCAGAAAGTCCTTCTGCTTTGGCAGCTACACGGCATCTTTTGGCTCCACTATATATCTCTATATATCACTTCCAGCCTGACTCTACTCTTCCCTGCCATAGGTCAAAGCAGCTTTATTCATTAGCCAATAGAAGCAACACATATACAGAAGGACATCCCATATCATCTCCCCTTTTCTGACTAAATGAAAAGAATGGTTTTAACTTTAACATAGTAAAATTACATATAAAAAACAGTTATCAATCAAGAATTAATTAAAATATTTAGTCCATTTACTTTGGCAAATTAAGGAAAATACTCTCTCATCTATCCAATTTTTGTGAGTCTAAAGTTTTATATCTAATATATCTTTTATCACAACTAAGGAAAACTATAACTATAGCTATCTGTCTTTAACTCTTCAAAGATCCCAGAAGGGTATAATACTATCTAAATAAACAGGAAGTGCACTGTAAACAACTAGCAAAATTCTAGAATTGACAGAGACATCTCACTGCCTGGACAATCACTCAAAGCTCTTCTCTAACACTGGGGCACCCATTCAGCCTACAGGCCCATAGTATCTGAAAGACTTTTTCATGAAACAGGAATTTCAAAGATCTGTTCAGCCTTGCAATTCCAGTCTATCATTTGCTTTCTTCTGTGTTCTGCAGAATGTCTAGTAGCTTCTTCTATAAAGCAGGAACCTTGAAAGACCATCCCATCTTTTGGAAAGTTCAACAGTTACTTTTCTGTGGGTCCTGCATGTCCAATTCATATAGTGTGCCATAAAACAGTCCAGGAAAGAGCAGTTTTTTTTGTCCAAATGGTTGGCTGTGTCACATTGAAGGCAAATTCCATAATACGTTTCTTCAATGCCCATCAACCTCTCTGAAGTAATTAGTGCTGCCAGAAGCAGGCATGTCTCACTGTTAAGAAAAGCCTAAGTTCTTAAAACATTTTAAATGTCTTATTCCGTAAGTCTTTGAAAGTTTTGAAGAATACCTATCTGAAATGTATCTCTGTACATCTAGAGAACCTAACTAATATGACTACAGGTTTGACTATTATAAATGACTATCAATCTGTATTTTTAACTCATATTACATTTTCAATGGGCTTCACAAACATAATACCTTAAATAAGAGTAGAAATATATATATACACAGTGTAACAAAAATAAAAAATCAACATTAAATTTCTATTAGTAGACCAAGATCCATACCAATGCAAAGTATTCATTTCTATATCATATCACCTTTAAATGAAAACAAACATCTATAAACAATCATTTTGGGAATTTCAGCAGAGTTTTGTCCAAACTGCTTCCTGCTGTTGGTTGGGTGAAGTACTTTTAGGGTTCATGGAGACTTTTCACGGGTTCTTGTTCCATCAAACCATATTAGCCTGGAAGAAATCCATGGGTTCTCATCTTCTGTGGAAACAAAGGCTGAACCTTTTTTCCAAAGCAACATATCCTTAGACCCAAATTTTGAAGTCAAGATATATTGATTTAATTATATTGATTTAACTTAGCAGTCCCAGAATCAAATGTCTCTCTGTAATCAAAAAATTCAAAGAAAATATGTTAATATAAATAATCCAGACTCTCTGTATATTTTCCATATCTTCTTGCCTCATTTTTTTATTTTATTTTTATACTTTTAATATTTATTTTATACTCTTTACCTTTAATCTATGACTTTCTGTACTTTTTCTTCTCTCTCGTAAGCCCATGTACATTTAGCCAACACTGTGACCCATTCAGAGGTCTTTTTTGTCCGAATCTGTTTTGTTGTGTAATTATCATCATTTTAAAATGATAAACAGCTTGGTCAGAGCGGCCCTGAAAGCTGGCTCTGCCTCTCTTGGCCTTTTAATATTACCATGTTTACCACCAGCTCTGCGATCCATGCTCACTGCCCCAGCTCCAAGGTTGCAGCAGATCTATGTCAGCGTTAAGCAACTTGTAGTACTCTGCTGACAAGCCCCATGAGCAGAGTACATGTAAGTGTAGGAGCCCTCAAAAGAGTGAGAGCCACTGTCTCTTAAAGAAGCCATGCAGTTTTTGCTACTAATGCAGAGTCAGGAAGCCTTCTTTTAAAGAAGCCGTGCCTCTGCTCACTGCCAGCAAACAGAGCCTATGTGGAAAAAATGTGGCTACCAAGAATTTGTGCTTGGTTCCTGTTTTTGTGGCTCTAAAAGTCCTCTTTTTTACTTTTTAAAGTTTTTTTAAAGATCTTACATGGATCTATGGATGCCATTTTGTAAACAGAGGCTGTTTTGTTTTGTTTTGTTTTGTTTTGTTTGTTTTTTGTTTTTGGTTTTTCGTTTTTTGTTCCCGGTCACCCGGACCCAAATAATCACACAGAAACTATATTAATTACAACACGGTTTGGTCTATGAACTCAGGCTTCTTATTAGCTAACTTGTACATCTTAAATTAATCTGCGTATCTCCATGAGGTTGTGGCCTACTGGTAAGATTCCAGCATCTACACGGTGTCTCTCTGACTCTACCTACTCTCTCTATATATCTGCCAGCCTGGCTGTGCTCTGCCCTCCCATAGGCCAAAGCAGCTTTATTAATTAACTAATAAAAGTAACACATATACAGAAGGACATCTAACATCACCAAATACCTTCTTACTTATCTTGAAAGGTGATTTTTTTCTTTTTTTTAAAAAAATTTATTGCTTTATAAACAATACCTTTCAAAATTTCCACTTCCTCCCCTCCTTCCATTTCCCTCCCGCTCCCCCATTCCTCCTCCTCCTTCCCCCTCCAGTCCTAAGAGAGGGCAGGGTACCCTTCCCTGTGGGAAGTTCAAGGCCCTCTGCCCTCCATACAGGCTTAGGAAGGTGTGCATCCAAATAGAATAGGATCCAAAAAAGCCAGTACATGCAGTAGAGACAAATCCCAGGGCCATTATTATTGGCTTCTCAGTCAGCCCCAATTGTCAGCCACATTCAGAGGGTCCAGTTTGATCCCATGCTTGTTCAGTCCCAGTCCAGCTGGATTTGGTGAACTCTCATTAGATCAGGCACACTATCTCAGGGGGTGGACCAACTTCTTGTGGTCTGACTTCCTTGCTCATATTCTCCCTCCTTCCACTCTTCAATTGGACCTTGGGAGCTCAGTCCAGTGCTCTGATGTGGGTCTCTATCTCTATCGCCATCTGTTGCCCGATGAAGGTTCTATGGTGATATTCAAGATAGTCATCAGTCTGATTACGGGACAAGGCCAGTACAGGCACCCTATCCTCCACTGCCCAGGGTCCTAACTGGGGTCATCCCTGTGGACTCCTTGGAACTCCTCCAGAGCCAAGCCTCTTGCCAACCCCAAAATGGCTCTCTCAATTAAGATATCTCCTTCCCTGCTCCCATATCTGTTGTTCCTCCATCTCAACCATCCCACTCCCCCAAACTCTCCCCAACCCTCCCCTTCTCCCCTCTGTCTTTCCCTATCCCCTTCCCTCCACCCCACCTCACCCCCATGCTCCTAACTTTTGCCTGGCATTCTTGTCTGCTTCGAATTTCCAGGAGGATCTATATATGTTTTTCTTTGGGTTCACCTTATTACTTAGCTTCTCTAGGATCACGAACTATAGACTCAATGTCCTTTGTTTATGGTTAGAATCCACTAATGAGTGAGTACATACCATATTTAAAACTTTGTTTCAGCCGTGATGCACCCAAAACTTGTGAACACATGTTCCAGCATTAAGATTAAAAGAATTTAAACTACCTGAGCTATTAGGACTCCATACTTAGTCATTAAATTGAGCTGCAATCCATCCTTAGGTGAGACTCACAGTCCCTGACTGTGAAACAGATTCTTGTATTTATTTTTATTCACCAAAACTCTGTATAAGTTATTATTATTATTATTGTAAGGTCATGGAAAATTTTAAGAAACTTTGCTTCCTCAAAAGCTGGTTAATACACCGGGTTCAAGAAACTTTGCAACATTAAGAACTTTGCAAAAATAAATGTCCCTAGCAGTTAGCCACCTGTCGACACTTAGCTTTGTGGTCTAGACAGAAGCAGGAGTAACTGCTGGCTGGGGCTGGGGAGTGGGGAGTGGCGAGGGAACAGAAACAGAAGTAGCCGCTTAAAGGAGGAAGGGGGCAAGGAGAAATATTCCACACCCTCCGTTTAGCAAGATCAACCTCCTTGACACAAAGTAAACCTGGCTTTCTTTTTTGCCTATGTATGTCAACCCCAAATGAGATACGGGGGCTTTTCTCCCTATTGCACTGTGTCAAGGGGAGTGGACGAGTCCCCAGCCTAGCTGAATAGTGCGCTGAATAGACCTTGCTTTTGCATTCTTCACTTGACTGGATTCCAGTGCTGGTCTCTCTGGGGGTCTCAACTTCGGAACAACATTTCATGTGTTGGCAGGAAACCCCAGGAACCCCCACCAGGACCCCCGAAGGTTTAGAGGTTTGTTTTGATACTGGTAAGAGATATGTATGTATGTGCTGACTGTCTGAAAGTAATATATATGTTTCTCTAAACTCTTTGACCGAGGGAAAGAGAAGTTCTCTGGGGGAGAGCAGCTCTCTGGGTGAGAGAACAGACTCAGGCTTTTTTGGGAGAGAGCAGGACTGAATGATAACCGGGCTCCCACAAATTAGACAGTGCAGTTTAGGGAGGTGTTATCATTTTGACAATCCGCAGGTAAAAATGCCCAGTAGAATGGGATGTTTCTAAGAGACAAGCACACTATTTTACAGGCAATAGAGATCTCACCATATCTACTCACACCCTGCTAAACAGCAGAGAAAGAGGGCTGCAGCAGACATGTAAAGGCACAACAGAAACAAAAGACATTCCCGGGTCTGCAGTCCTGTGACCTTGTCTAAATTAGATTGGCTCATCAGAGGATTATTTTCTGGCTGACTGACACTGGAACTTCAATTGCAACTTGCTGCTCCTCTGACATGCCCAACAGTTTAGATTATGTCAGGGTTTTTTTTTCCCCTTATGACACCAGGAACAAAAAATTGTTTTAAGCAATCCTAAAATTAATATTCAACCAGATAACAAATTTTTTTATAGTAATAACTGATGGGATTAAACCAAATTTTAGGTGCTTCAAAAGATAATAAAAATACTGATATTTTTCTGGTGTGGGAAGCCCTTCTATGTGTTGCTTTTATTGGTTAATGGCTAAATGTTTTGGCCAGTGGCTTAGCAGAATAGAGCTAGGCAGGAAAACTAAACTGAATGCTTGGAGAAAGAAGGCCCAGTCAGGGCAAGTCATGTAGCTCTGCTAGAGATTGATACCGGATGAAAACTTGCCAGTACCCCACAGCCACATGGCGATACACAGTTTAATAAAAATGGGTTAAATTAAGATGTAAGAGCTAGCTAATAAGAAGCTAGAACTAATAGGCCAAGCAGTGATTTAATTAATACAATTTCTGTGTGGTTATTTTGAGGCTGAACAGCTGGGAACCACAAGCGGCCTCCTACCACATTATTCATTTATGGTTATGCATATTTATTATATGAGAACTGTATTAGGATTTTTATGTAATTACATCTTTTTAAAAGTAAAACTATAGAAATTCACATTTTGTGTAAGAGAAAACAGAAGCTCTGGTGGATTTCTCCAGCATGATGGTTTCCAAAGACTGTATCATAATGAACATTAAGCTACAGACATGAAATTAAAATAAAAGTCACAGAAAGTTGATGCAGGAATGTGTTCAGCTATAAGGTATGTCCTACTTCTTGTCTCAAGAATAAAGTAGTCTGGGTGGTCAATATAGAAATACCAAACTTTTAGTATTCATTATGTAAATAGAGAGGACAGCTAACGCTCCAGTTTTTAGGATGCCATTCCCCACTAGAACTATGTTTATCAGGAAGGTGAAAAAGTGTGGTCGTTGTGTATGTGTTTCCATGTCACTTTATATGTTATCATATGATAAGAATTACTAAAATAAGAATAAAGGGGCCTCATGAAGTTGCATTCATGACTTACTGTTCTCAAAATGAAAATGGTTTTTGTGTCTTTATGTTCAATGTATTTTAAGTCATTACTGGTGGTTGGGAATGGGAAGATAAGTATTTTTCCAACTGAGCTGCTTTTAGTATTATCCCAGGGACCCATGGTATGCCACCCTATTTAGAAGAAGCAATACAAGGATGAGCAAGAAGGCCTTTTAAAATACAATGATAATATTAAACATCCTTTGTACCAAACTGTGTGTTAACTATATATATTTGTTTTCTAAACCAAAACTTTAGATAATAATACAAGTATGAGGGGAAAAGAAACACAATTTCTCATTTCTCTCAGAAATAACCAATTCCAAGGTGTTTGATCATTTATGTCAGCATAATCCCAACCCTGAAATCTTGAAGAAATTCTGGTGTAGACAGAGAAGTAACTTTCTCCTCACTGAGAATAGAAAGTTGAGAGATGAGACACAGTGAAGAAAACCTGAACCGTCTCTCTAATAATGAGATGGATGGCGAGTGTCAGCAACCTAACTGACTATGAAGGAATCATCAAGTTTTTCACATTCCCTTTTGGATGAAGAAAAGGCAACAGGCTTTTTTTTTGCAAGGAGATACTAGGAATTCCCAAGTCACTGCACATGCAACTCAAGGGCAGCCATCAAGGTCTTTAGTCCATGTCCCTTTTAGAGATGAGTTTGTTTCTCTGTCATTCTATCTGCACCATATAGTGACTTCCGTTAAATTGTGAGTGAACTTGGGAGTTACAGGCACTTAGCACGTAACCCTGGTGGCTCGATTTCCCCTCCTGTGTCCCTACGCTACTGACTTCAGTGAAGATATTTGTTTGCTCTTCTAGCATCCAGCCATGGCTTGGTTCCAGGTGATACTGTTTCTCTTTGCTTTGCTGCTGCAATCGTTGCCCACAGAAGGAAAGGTAAGTTTAAGGTGGGAACATCCTCTCAGAGCACGCGACAACTTTGGAAAAGGGCGGGCCACTTTGAGAGCAGAAGAATGCAGAGTGTCTGATAGGTGGCAAAGTGTCCATGGGTGTCATAGAACACTTCACTAGAAGGCGGAAATAGGGGACTAAGTCTTTTGTTCCATCACTCATGGCTGTGGTGGCCTGCAGTCACATGTGCCCTTTGGATACTTGAAAAGCCAAAGTATATTCCAAGGAGAAGGTTCACAGGTGTGAACAACATAGCACAAGCCCAACAACAACAGACTGACTTCACTAGTATTCTATGGTCAAGAAACAAATAACACTATTTCATAGAATTGGTTAAATAATAAATAAAGTTCATAGCACTGTTGTTAAGAATTACCAGACTTGCTGGCTGAACACAGTAGAAGTGCATTCTCTACAACTGTTGGGGCTAGTAGTCTGAAATTGAGGTCTCTCTGGTGGACTTAGGAAGGAACTGATTCTTTTCTTTCTCTTACAGTGACTTCTGCCAATTGTTGCCCTTTGACAGATGGCTATGTCACTCCAACCACTTTCTTCATGTTAATATAATCTCCTCTGTGTTTCTCATGAAATCACTGGGCCTGAGATTCAGGTTCCACTTGGGTACTTTAGGATAATGTTGTGTAAGATCCTGAATTGATTACTTCCGTAAAGACATTTTCCTCCCAGATAAGACCATATTTATAGATCTCTTGAATGTGTTATGTGTTATTTTTAAGGGTCAATTACTCAATTTATCACAAATAAATATGTTACTGAAATTCACTTTTATACTTTGAAAGGTCATCTCCACTTAAAATCACATGTCACTCACAAGTCATATTTTAAAGAGACAGCATGTTATATGGATTTAAAGAGCTAACTAATTATGGGTCTTCTACTCCAAGTATTTTCTATGTTGTTTGTTTCTCCCCATTTCTATGTGATTGCTCAGAAATTAAATTTGCATTCTCTATTTTTGTATCAGTATATTTACTCCTTTTTTATTGTTTACAAATAACTGGACTTGTTTCTACAATATTTTTGTGTTTACCAATGATCTTGGTATTAGTACATAAAATATTGTTACTGTGTGGAATCTTGAATGCAGACCCCCTATTTCACACATGATTTTATGCTTTAATGATCCCAGAACAAGGTCAGTCATCTTTGTCAGTGTGTATAAGGCTCACAGATGGAGTTCTCCTTCTGACCTGGAAGCATGTGGATGTGAGATACTAGCATCATTGTTGTCACTTTTCATACTCTTCTATGACGTTTAGAACTCAACACTAGCTAGAAATTAAGACCTTGATAGCTGTTCAGCTCTTATTTCGCATTCATAACTGTAACCAGTCTGAGTCAAATTCTTTTTTCCCAAATAGTTTATATTTATTGGACATTCTTATACGGCAGATACTGCACTAGGTCCCTACAATATTTTTTCCTTTTTTCACTTTTTTTTTAAAAAAAACCTCAGTCTATTGAGCTGTATATTTTTTGCCACTCCCCTTCTTTTCTCTCCCCTCCCCTTCATCTTTCTCCCATGATCCCCATGCTTCAAATTTACTCAGGAGATCTTGTCTTTTTCTACTTTCCATGTAGATTAGATCTATGTATGTCTCTCTTAGGGTCCTCATTGTTGTCTACGTTCTCCGTGATTGTAAATTGTAGGTTGTTTTTTCTTTGCTTTTTGTTTAAGAGCCTCACTCAATATGATGTTTTCTAGATCCATCCGTTTGCCCGCAGATTTCAAGATGTCATTATAATAGTCAAATTCTTAGACGGGAGAAAGTTTGCTTCTTATTCCCCAGGTATATATATAAACAGTTTCCCATCTTTTCTCCCTTAATGATTTTCCTTCGAACCCTCACGATTTTATTACTTCCTGGTTTAATTCTTGGCCCTCATTTCTAAAAATCATTATCTAGTGAGATGTCATTGGGTTTTGGCACCACTAACTGCTTACTGATAATCTCTCTCAGCATGACTTCCTATGTTTCTCACCAGTCTGATGAAAACTGTACATCTTTTCAAATCCCAACTAAGAATCATCTTTTGTGAACTGTTTGGTATCCTCAATAAATTGATCTCTCTTTATATATAGCCTATCAGATTTGAAGAAGTCATATTTTTTATGCCTTATGAACTCTGTAAGAATAGATTCTGATTTTTGGTAATTTTAGACTTGATGTGTATCTTACTTTCTGACATCCCCAGTAAAACTTTATTAATACTCATAAAAAAACAATCACAACTATTCATAGAATTTTCATGACAAAGCATAATGGTGTAAAATCAGAAAGGATTTCTTACCCTAAGGAACCAATTTTTTAATGTATTTTAAACACATTTTTAATTGATTTTATTGAGCTATACATTTTCTTTCCTCCCCTCCATTTTTCTCCCCGCCCCTTCAACCCTCTCCTATGGTCCCCATGCTCCCAATTTACTGAAGAGATCATATCTTTTTCGACTTCCCATGTAGATTAGATCCATGTATGTCTCTCTTAGGATTTTCATTGTTGTCTAGGTTCTCTGGGATTGTGAATTGTAGGCTGGTTTTCTTTGCTTTATGACTAAAAGCCACTTATAAATGAGTACATATGAGTCTGGGTTACTCAGATGCTTTCTAGATCCATCCATTTGCTCACAAATCTCAAGATGTCATTTTTTTTCTTTTTTTCTTTTTTTTTTGCTGTGTAGTACTCCATTGTATAAATGTACCACATTTTTCTTCCTTATCCATTCTTCAGTCGAAGGGCACTTAGGTTGTTTTCTGGTTCTGGCTGTGATAAACAATGCTGTTATGAACATAGTTGAGCACATGTCTTTGTGGTATGATTGAGCATCCTTTGGTTATATACCCAAAAGTGGTATTTCTGGGTCTTGAGAAAGGTTGTTTCTTAATTTTCTGAGAAATTCCAATTCTGATATCCAAAGGGTCTGTACCAATTTGCACTCCCACTGGCAATGCAGGAGTGTTCTCTTTGCTCCTTATCCTCTCCAGCATAAGCAGTCATCAGTGTTTTTGATTTTGGCCATTCTTACAGGTTCAAGATGGAATCTCAGAGTTGTTTTGATTTGCATTTCTCTGAAGGCTAAGGATGTTGAGCATTTCCTTAAGTGTCTTTCAGCCATTTTAGATTCCTCTGTTGAGAGTTCTCTGTTTATGTCTGTACCCCATTTTTTATTGGATTATTTGTTCTTTAGTGACCAATTTCTTGAGTTCTTTATATATTTTGGCGATCAGTCCTCTGTCTGAAGTGGGGTTGATGAAGATCTTTTCCCATTATAGCCTCCCATGGTAGTCTGCCATTTTATCTTGTTGACTATGCTGTTTGCTTTATTGAAGCTTTTCAGTTTCAGGAGGTCCCATCTATTAATTGTTTCTCTCAGAGTTTGTGCTACTGGGTTATATTTAGGAAGTGGTCTCCTGTGCCAGTGCATTCAAGTGTACTTCCCACTTTCTCTTTTATGAGGTTCAGTGTGGTTGGCTTTTTGTTGAGATCCTTGATCCATTTGGACTTGAGTTTTGTGCATGGTGATAGATATGGAATTATTTTCAGTCTTCTACATGTTGATATCCAGTTATGCAAGTACCATTTGTTAAATATGCTTTCTTTTTTCCATTTTATACTTTTTGCTTGTCAAAAATCAGGTGTTTGTAAGTGTGTGAATTAATATCTGGGCTTTCGATCTGTTTCTATTGATCCTCCTGTCTAGAAACCAATATTTTTATGTTATGAAGTTATTTTAAGTCACATTTTGAGGATAATGGAAACATGGGAATGTCTGATAATTCTGGGATTGGTCATTGCTGATGCTTGACTTTTGCACCCATTGTTCAATATGAATCTACATTTGTGCTATACCTGTAGTTCAAGGCATTATCTAATAGTCTCTGTTCTTAGGAACACAAAGCAGAGGTTGAAATGGACAGAGGGTAGAAAATGGCCAATGCTGTGTAACCAGAAGCATGAGGATAGAAACTTAAGAGTCTTGAGGGAGTTCAGTGTTGTGAGGAACAGTCAAGTAACTTATTCCAAAGTACCAGAAAACCTACTATGAGTAGCGTGTCTATTAGATTACTTCAGAATCTTGCTCACACCCTTGGAACATTGCACCTTTGTATAAATTTAAGCTTAGAACCTGTCCAACAACCAAAAGTCCCATTCTGCTCCAAGATTTAGCTGCCACATGCATATAGTCATGAAGATAATCTGAAAATATGAACACTGGCCCAATCACGTTTTACTAATAAACTGATCAAAGTAAGAAACATTCCATTTAAAAGATGAACTTGCTGCCCTCTAATTGTGTGGGAAAATTTTGAAAATATTTAAGAAGTACGTATTGAACAACCTTGGAAAACATGCTGCCTAATGGTTTCGACCATGTGCTGGATGGGGGATAGGAACTGAGACTGAATCTGCAAGTCCTATCGCCAAATGCAGATGCCACAGAGAGTGATGTTCTCTTTAGCCTATGGATCATGGGGTTCCCTCACCATACCTCACTGTGGTTTGACCAAATGCAAAAGGAGAAGTCTTAGGTCTTCTGCTATGAAGTGTTTGATGACAAAATGTTCTCATTTTTAATCTAAATTTTTGATATGTATTATGTTCCCCCTCTAGCAACTCCTCTCAGATCCTCACCATCTCCATATTCACCCAACTTCATGTTCTCTCTCTCTCTCACAAAACAAAACAAAACAAAACAAAAACACAACCAAAATCCAAAATGCAAAAGCAAAACCAACAAAAAACAAGTCAAAATGTCAAAACAATTAAAATCATAATGGCATCTGTTTGTGATTGGCAAACTATTCTGGGGCATAGGGCCTGCCCTGGAGCACAGTTGTTGTACTCACTGTGGAAGTTTGAAGACTATTGGACCCCTTAATCTTGTAGGATATGACACTGTTAGGAGGCGTAACTTTGTTGAAGTAGGTATGACCTTGTTGGAGGAAGTGTGTCACTGCGGTGGTAGGCTTTGAGGTTTCCTATGTTCAGAATACTGTCCAGATAGACAGTCAACATCCTATTGTCTGCAAGCTAAGGTGTAGCCAACGCAACGCCTCTCTGGATACCATCATACTTCTCACCATGATGATAATGGACTTAACCTTTGAAACTCTAAGCCAGCCACCACAATTAAATGTTTTCTTTATAAGAGTTGCCAAGGTCATGGTGTCTCTTTATAGCAATAGCAAAAATCTTAGCTAAGACACGGATACTCCATTTCAGAAGATTGATCTTTTTTTTCTTTGCCAGAAGATAGCTACTTAGTTAGGGGTGGGACTCCATGTCAAGTTTCAGTTCTCAAGCCTGGGATTTTTGTTCGGTGAACCTCTGCAGATCTTTTTTGTATTGCCATAGTCTCCGTGAGTTCATATGTGCTTTGCTCTTGTGTTTGGAAGACACTTTTTCCTTGGAGTCACCCATCACTCTTGCCCTTAGCATCAAGTTTCTTCTTCTGCACAGATCCCTGAACCTTGGTGGTGGTGGTGGTGGTGTGTATGTGTGTAGGGGGGGGATTTCATTTCAGTCATCTCACTTAGGGTTGCGTGTTCCAAAGTCTGTCACTCTCTGCACATTGTCCTGTTGTAGGTCTACTGAAAGGTCTCATCTACTGAAAGAAGAGGCTTCTCTGATGAGGCCTGAATGATGCACTGATCTGTGGTATAGTGATCTGTCATTATTTTATTGTTATCTTCCTGGACCAGAATAATAGTAGGTTTTCCCTTAGATCACATGACCCATTTAGTCTCAGGTTCTTTGCCACTTTAGCATTGTCAGAACTGGGTTCCAGCTCATGGAGTGGGCCTTAAGTTCAATCAAAAAGTGGCTTGTTACTTTTATAATATTGACATCCTATTGCACCAGTCTAACATGCAGGCACTGTTGTAAGTCTCATGGTTTGTATCTGACCAATATTGATCACCTTTATTCTCTTGTTCATGTTCAGAGTACCTCCCCGAACTTCCTCTTATAGGATTGCATTAACACACACATACACATCCACATCATTGAAAGCTGAAATAAAATCAGAAACTATCATTTGTGGCCTCAGAGGAATTTTTGTCTAGAAATGAATTACTCATCATTTCCGAGTCTTCTGTCTACTTATTTTTATTAAAATTGTTGATGCAGATGTATTGGTATTGCTAAGTAACTCATAGTTCCCTTTTCTATTTGGGCGATGTTATGCGATAATAGTTTTAAGTGATTTTTGTTGTTGTTGTTGTTTTCGAAGTAATTTCTTCCCTGTCTGTCGTCCACAAAATTGTTAAAAGTAATTTTCCTTCAGGATCCAGCTTTTACTGCACTGTTAACCAGCCAGCTGCAAGTTCAAAGAGAGATTGTGAATAAACACAATGAACTGAGGAGAGCAGTTAACCCCACAGCCAGCAACATGCTAAAAATGGTAAGAGACTGTGGTGGAAATGAGGTGAGCCAGCTGTGGGGGGAGGAGCCACTGGAGGTGGCTTAACATTATGGTTAAAAATATTCCTTACGTCTGTAAGGACCAGGCTTCAGCAACTCATTAATTGGGAGGCGGGAACAGCAGAGTCAGCACACTCAGTTTGACTTTTCTGTCTGAGGGGGTAAAGCTTAACTATCTGTGGCCAGCGAAAAAGGGAATAGCACACACACACACACACACACACACACACACACACACACACAACTTTAGGATTTCTCTATTATCTCCCTCTCATCTTTTTATTTCTTTTATGACCTCTATCTAGAAATATCCCTTCTGTGTATTTATTTTTTTCCCTTACAGCTTAAAAAACCCAACAGATTTTTTTAAACAATATAAAAATTACAGTGTAGTTACATTCTATTTATTTATTTATTTTTATAAAGGAAAACAAACTATTTTTTTTCATTTTACATACCAATTCCAGTTCTCATTACCTCCCCTTTCCCATTCCCCCTACCTTCCCTCCACCCCACCCCATATCCATTCCTCAGAGAGGGTAAGGCACATTGCTTTGGGGAAGGTTCAAGACCCACCCTGCTATATCTAGGCTGAGCAAGTTATTCATCCAAAGAGAATGAGTTCCTCAAAGGTAGTACAAGCAGTAGGGATAAATCCTGGTGCCACTGACTGTGGCTCTGCAGTCTGCCCCATTCAGATAATCTAGTTTGATCCTATGCTGGTTTCTTCCCTGTCTGACTGGAGTTGGTGAGCTCCTGTTAGCTCAGGTAAACTGTTTCAGTGGGTGTCCCCTTCATGGTCTTGACCTCTCTGCTCATATTCTCACTCCTCTCATTCTTCAAATGGACTTTGGAAACTCAGTCAAGTGCTCCACTGAGGGTCTCTGTCTGTTTCCATCAGTTGCTGGATGAAAGTTTTATGGTGACATTTAAAATATTCATAAATCTGACTACAGGACAAAGCCAGTTCAGGCACCCTTTCTTCTCTTAGTTGGGGTTATACTTGTGAATTCCTGGGGATTTCTCTAGTGTCAGGTTTCTGACTAGCCCTGTAATAGCTCCCTTAATCAAAAAATCTTTTCCTTGCTCTCATTTCTGTCCTTCTTCCTTCTTGACTATTCTTTTTCTTCAAGTTCTTCTCCCTCCCTTCCTCTTCAGCCTTCCCTTCTACTCCCACCCCCATGCTCCCAATTTTGTCTGGTGATCTTCTCTATTTCGACTTTCCAGGTGGATCTATATATGTTTCTCTTATGGTCTCCTTGTTACTTAGCTATTCCAGAGTCATGGACTATAGACTGGTTATCCTTTGCTTTACAGCTAGTATCTACTTATGAGTGAGTACATACCATATTTATCTTTCTGGGTCTGGATTACCTCACTCAGGATTTTTTTTTCTAGTCCCATACAATTGCATGCAAATTTCAAGATGTCATTGTTTTGTACTGCTGAGTAGTACTTCATTGTGTAAATGTACCACATTTTCTTTATCCATTCTTCAGTTGAGGGGCATCTAGGTTGTTTCTAGGTTCTGGCTATTACAAATAATGTTGCTATAAACATAGTTGAACAAATGTCCTTGTAGTAAGATTGAGCATCCTTTGGGTATATGCCCAAGAGTGGTATTGCTGGGTGCTGAGGTAGACTGATTCCCAGTTTTCTGAGTGGTATAGGAGATCCTTCTGTATTTGTGTTGTTTTCATTGGTTAAGTAAAGAAACTGCTTTGGCCTTTTGATAGGGCAGTACTTAGATAGGCGGGAAGACAGAACTGAATGCTGGGAGGAGAAAGGCAGACAGGGAGAGCCGCCATGAAGTCGCCAGGTCAGAGACACTGAATCTTTTCCAGTAAGCCATAACTTGTGGTGATACACAGATTAATGGAAATGGGTTAGATCAGGATGTGAGAGTTGATCAAGAAGAAGCTAGATATAATGGGCTAGGCAGTAATTAAATTAATACAATTTCTTTGTGGTTTTTTTCGGGGGGTAAGCTAGCCGGACAACAGGAAGCTGAGAAACTGCCATACTGATTTCTAGAGTAGTTGCATTTCCACTAGCAGTGGAGGAGTGTTCCCTTACTCCACATCCTCTCCAGCACAAGCTATCTTTGGTATTTTGATCTTAGTCATTCTGACTGGTGTAAGACTGTATTTCAGAGTCATTTTGATTTGCATTTCCCTGATGGCTAAGGATGCTGAAGAAAGAAAGCATCTTCAACAAATGCTGTTGGCACAACTGGATGCCAACATGTAGAAGAATGCAGATAGATCCATAACTATACCCATGCACAAAACTCAAGTTCAAATGGATTAAAGACCTCAATATAAATCTGACCACACTCTACCTGATAGAAGAGAAAGTGGGAAGTAGCCTTCAATGCCTGAACACAGGAGGCCACTTCCTAAATATAACCCCAGTAGCACACATACTGAGAGCAGCAATAAATATATAGGACTCCTGAAACTGAGAAGCTTCTGTAAAGCAAAGGACACAACCAATAAGATAAAAAGATAGCCCAGTGAATGGGAAAAGATCTTTCCTAACCCCACATCAGACAGAGGACTGATCTTCCAAAATAGATAAAGAACTCAAGAAATTAGACATCAAAATTCCAAATAATCCAAATGAAAAATGGTGTAAATAACTAAACAGAGAATTCTCAACAGAAGAATTTCAAATGGCTGAAAGATACATTTTCTTTTTAGTTAATGGTTACAATGAATACACGTTAAAAAAAAGAAAAACATTTTTCTCATTTCCATTACATGGTTAAACATTTTACATACTACATGTCAAAAACAAATTATCCTCAAGAACGCACATACATTCATGTCTGAACAACTTATTGCAGATTAACAGAGGGTAAGCAAACAAGGTATTTTTCTCAGCCAGTTGTCTTACTGGCTGGTTGCATTTTGAGTTTAAAAAGAAAAGGTCAATAATTTTAATACTTATTTCAGAAGGTAATATAAAAAATCTCAAAAGAATAACAAATACAAACTTTTATATATGAAAAGGAATCAGTCAGTATTACCTTAAATTGTCAGGGTGCACACCAACACATCAACAGTCTGGTTTTTTATATCAGGAAGTTGAGACAGAAATGGGTACAAGGAATCACCTTGATCACCGACCCATCCTAGCAAGAAAGACATGTGAGCTAATAAAAACGTGGCTGTATTTGTTCTTGTTTCTTGACCTCAAAGAGTTTCTCAATCAACTGCCTTCCTAATCTTTAAACTGTTCCGTAAGATTTTCTATCTCAAAGCCATAAACAAAGACATCTTAACTTAACCTTAGTCGTTATGTAAAGCTATGATGCACACCGAAACCTATGAACACATCTTCCAACATTGAGACTAAGAGAACTTAAGCTAGCCTCGTCTGGGGAACAATTGCTTTTCTTAATCATTAACCTAAGCTACACTCTATGTGACTCCTCAAGAGAAACTCCTAAGTTCTAGCTGGTGACACTTCCTTGTTCTTAATTTCTATCCTTTGCAGTGCCTGCTTTGCCAAGGGTGGTGGCAACACCATATCCTGTCTTTACCTATATTAGTTTTCCCACTAAACTAACCCCTATCATAATCCCTTACTGTATTTGTTAAAACCCTTAATCATCAAAATTCTATCTAAACTAACATTATTATTGTACAAAATCATTGTTACAGTTAAACAGCACAGCTTAGGAGGAAGTCATCCTCATGACAATCCACAGGGAAAAATGTCCAGCAGAGCAGAATATTTCCGTGAGATAATCACACAAAATTAAAGGCAATGGAATTCTCCCCACACCTGTTGATGTCATGCCAGATACCAGAGAAAAATGTCAGCTGCAAATATGCCAAGGCAGCCATAGCAAGAGACATTCTGGATCTGAAACCCTTGGGGCCTTGCCTATCTGAGATTCACCCATCAGCACACTGCGTCTGATCTCCTGAAACTCAATTGCCACCTGCTGCACCTCTGACATTGCTGCCCACAGTTCCTGCTTTGATTTTCTTTTTTACTAATATATTTATTTATTTATTAATCATTCATTCATTTATTTATTTAATTTTTATGTGAGAAAGAGTCCATTGTTCTCATTTTTGACATGGCTAAAAGACATTTCAGGTTTTTTAATCTTATAATAAGTTAGGCAGAATTAGAAACCAACCCTTTGAGAATCTTGTGTGAAACATTTTGTTCGTTGTCTTTTCTTGGCACGCATCAAGGCATTTTCTGTCTTTCAGGGTCTCACTTCTTGAGAGGATGTGTTTTTCTGTGTTTCTGTCTGTGAGTGTGGCCACGCACAGGCATTAGATTCCCACTAGAAGTTGGTTTATGAACAGCGATGAATCAGTGGTCAGGGGTGCTGGGAACCAAACATAGGACCTCTGCAAATGGGCAGTAGGTTCTCTCAGTCACTGAGCTATCTCTCCCTTCTCAATACTACACTCTTCTTAATATACAATACTTTCCATCACACAATGCTAATATCCTTTTATCCCACCCAAGCCCATCTCTTTCACATGAAAGTAATAGGCATCAAAGAACTTTGGAATAACTCGAACACCTTATAATATTAAAATATCATTCCAGTGCTTCACATGTATCAGTATTTGCCGTCATTCACAAACATCATAGATTTGGCTTTATTGTTGAGTATTTTGTCCTTTTACACAACTTTGATGGACTTCTCTTCAGGTGGAAACAAAATTAAAACATGAAAAAGAGGCATTTTAATAACAGTGATAATTAGAAAAATCTTCCAATGAACTTTTAAAGTTTTGCTAACAAATCAAATTATATGCTTTCGTTATGGTTGGATCATTAGATGTAGTTTTCTTTTTCTTTTGATATTTAGGAATGGAGCGCAGAAGCAACTACAAATGCTCAGAGGTGGGCTAATAAGTGTACGTTAGAGCACAGCAATCCAGAAACCCGAAAAACCAGTACGTACTTTTATATATATGACTGCTTCATAACGTGAATCAATTCAACAGTAGCAGGTATTTCTAGGATAGTACATTAATAATTTGCACATAAATGGTATCAATGGTCTCTTTCCAAGTCATTTATTTATGATTTAGATATAATTATAATGCGGTTCATATTACATATCTGTTTATAGTATGCAACATAAACATATTTGCATATATTTTGCAAATATAAATATATTTGTTTATATTATGCAAATGTTTCATGTGATTATCATTTGTTCTCTCCAAGCTCAGAAGCACAGCAGAGCATGTGGCATCCTTTTTTACAAAAATCCTCAAATTAGAAAAACAACATTAGGGAGAAAATGACAGGCCAGAGAACACACTAAAGTCATGTCACACTAGATGTTTTTCTTGACGCTTTATCAAATCTAATCACCTGCCCCCACATTTTGATAATACACAGCTGTTCAGTATTCTGATATCTATTTTTATGATATACATCTGATTGTGTTCACTTGTTCATTAGTTTTGCTGCAAAATACTTGATGTTTTGAAATCATAATCAAAAATCATGTAGACTGAATATTTTAAGGAAGCATGCAAGTGTTGACCCCTTCTCTTTCCTAGGCCTGCATCACAATGCTGAGAGCACACAACACATACACATGTAAAGAACTTAGTGCCGAGTTAGCTGCAGCTTTGACAGTGCAAATGGAGAAGAATGGAACATTCTCCACTTAACAGAATGGAGCATTCACAACCGCTTCAGATATTTGCATGCTTAGGCCAGCCTAACTGTCTGAGATGACTGTCTTCTCATATGATTAATATATTAATTATTAATCTATTAATTTGTTAATTAATCTAAGAAGCAGGCACCATGCTCCCTCCTTAACCAACAATTACCCAGCATAGGCATTCTGGCTGAAGTACAGCATTTTGCATGTGTATAGTCAATTTATTTCGCCGTTGAATGTTTTAATGTTTTCCTCATAAGTATTTTCCTTCCCAGGTACCAGATGTGGTGAAAATCTCTATATGTCAAGTGACCCTACTGCTTGGTCAGACTTAATTCAAAGCTGGTATGATGAAAGTGAACATTTTACCTATGGTGTAGGGCCACAACCCAATGCGGCTGTTGGACATTATACTCAGGTGGGCATATGAATGAAGATGCTATAGTAATAAACACTGTAATGCAATGACGAAAGCTTTGCCAGCTGATGACCCATCCCTATGTTCAGTTTGAGGAGACAGGCTGAGTGGGTGTAATACAGTTCTGCCAGTTCATTGATTCCTTAAGATATATTAATTTATGCCCAGGGTTTGAAGAACTAATAATAAGAAAGCATGCAGTATATCCTTTCATTACAAGTGGATAAAATAGTGATCCCACAGAACATGTTTGGTTTTAAAAGGTATTAAAAATAAAATGTTATTACTGCGATACTCAAAATAAAAATTTTATGTGGTAAATGTTAATGACTATTATAGCCACGTATTTATATACTATATAGGTCAATATTTATTTTTGAATATTTTACCACTTTTCTATTAAACATCAATGCATTTGTCTTGTAGATTGTTTGGTATTCAACTTACAAAATTGGATGTGGAGTTGCTTACTGTCCCAGTCAACGTACTTTAAAATATTTCTACGTTTGCCAATACTGTCCTGCGTAAGTATGCACTCCAGAATTGTGTGTAATTTTACCTGCAAACTAACATTTGAAAGCTCTTATATAAAGCAAACCAGAATCAGAAATGTAACCCCACCGAGTGAAGAGCAAATGTCAGGGTTTTAGTTTGAAGATCGAGGCAATGCTAATTTGTCAGAGAAGAGTGCAGTTCCATAGTTCTGAATGTAAAGATCTAAGATCTCCATCTTCACTGGTAAAATGATGTCCTTTCTTTCAATTATCCTTCCTTAGGTCCTTCATTCAAGGAGCTTTGTATTGTAAATTTTTCTCGGGTTTCACGTTATCTATTTTGCTAATTTCACACTGCAGGACTTTGCATTTTTAATGCAAGCATAAATGAATTAGGCAGTTGTCTTGCAAAAGGGATGACCTTAATTTCACCTTTTTTTTTCTTTTCAAATATTTCAATTACTTGTTACCTACAAAAGAGGAAAACCTTACATCATTCACACAAACCTTGCTATTCCACGTGTGTAACCACAACACACTTTCTGTTTTAATTCTACTTACTCTTTGGAAAAGATGGGAACCACGCTTCTTATCAGATTTGTTGAGTGATGGTTACTCAAGTGAAAGAAGACTCGAGTAGGAGAGCTTTGAACTCAGAATTTGTTTCTCTGCCAATACATCTTTTAGCGTTTACTATAGAAAGTTCACAGACCATGGAGATTTGTAACTAAATTTATTCCTTGATCATAAAAGCATCTCATGAGCGGATGCAAGAAACAAGATACAAGAATGGAGAGTGGGAGGAAGCTGGAGATGAACTTACAGCGCTTGTCTAGAACCCTCATGGTTTGTTTCTCTAAGTGTGTGCTCAATACACCGAGACTCAATGGTGTCACCTTCTACTCTTGTGTCACTTGCACAATTAGGATTTAGATTCCGACGTATCTTCAATCTCATGGTCCACATGGTAATGATCATCCTAAGTCAAAAATTCATCCCTGCAAGATAGCATCCCTTGAATGCTCGCACAGATCTAAGCTTTGCAAACTGACATTCTCTTCATAGTAACTGCAAAATTCTCATACATGAAATCTCTTTAAATACAAGCTAGAGCGGCTTAAATACATGCTACTAGCCATGCACAAACAATATGAACTCACTCTCAGCCAGACAACAAATGCTGAAACTTTATTTTCGATTTTAGAGTAACCGTGGACTAGCTCAGCTTTCCAATAGAGTATATTAGCAGTTTTCCTTTACCACTGCCATTTATGAGATGTTCTTTCTCTAGAGTGACAGGATTCCTAAACCCACGCCTTAGTAATGATTTCATCTGTCTGGCAATGAAGGGGACAATTCTAGATGCAAGTTACCTCCATTTCCTCACTTAGTTTGATGAATGATTGTGGTTAGAGAGACGGTGTGTCATTGTTGGCCTTGGTTGTCACCCTGACACAGCTGAGAAGTTTCAAATTAAGGAATTTCCTGTATTAAATTGGCTCGTGTCCCTGTTGGTGAGGCCTTTTTCTGATGGCTAATGTAGGAGGGTCTAGCCCACTGCTGGCCATGCCACCTTTAGGTAGGTAGACCTGGCCTGGAGGAAAGGTAGCTGAACTCGAGTCAGGGTGCAGCCTGTAAGCAGCATTTAAATCTCCACTGTGTCTTCTTCTTCAGCTCCTGCCTTCAGGTTCCTTCCATGACTTCCCTCCATGACAGACCTATGAGTTAAATAAAACCCTTCCCGCCCCCTCAAAGTCTCTTTTAGTCATTCTTTTATCTCAGCAACAGATAGCAAACTAGAAGAAAGATGCTCACGTGTGAAGTGTGTTCTTAATTGTTATTGTTGTCTGAGTTACGCTATGGAAATCATTATTTTCAGTTTTGCTTATAAAATAATGTAAACAAAATTGAAAATCGTGCATGACCATGTACATATGCTCACTGATACTTTGGTCTATAAAAGAGCAACTAAGAGAAAAATAATTGTATGTTTTAACTTTCAGGGGTAACAATGTGTTGACAAAGGCCACTCCTTACAAGCAAGGGGAACCGTGTGCTAGCTGTCCTAATAACTGTGACAACGGACTATGCAGTAAGTGTGATGGGAGCCACTGGTGGGTCATCAAACAGTCAGTATGGTATTTACCTGGAAAACTGTAAAATCAGCTAAGTGATGTATTCTTAGAAAAAGAAAACAATTTACTCAGGAGAGGCGCTAAAATAAGTATTTTATACACTTTACTAACTTGTATTTTATTTGTAATGAGAAGAATTTTACCTGCACTACATAATGGATCTTCTACCCTCAGTGAGAGTGATGTGCAGAGACTATTCACCGTGCACGTCATTCACGTATTGTTCTTTAAACTTAATATCAACAGGGGGAGGTAGGGAGGGGAAGGTGGAGAGGGGGAGGTGGGAAGGGGGAGGGAAAAGGGAGGCGGGAAAGAGGTGGAAACTTTTAATAAATAAAAAAAAAACAAAGCATGGTGCTGGAGAAATAGCTCAACAATTAAGAGTATTTGCTGTTCTTGCAGAGGGCCTGGGTTCCATTGCCATAACTGATCTTAATGGTTCATAACTGCCCATGACTCCAGTTTCAAGATATCTGAAGTTCACTTCCAGGTACCTGAATGCAGGTGCTGGACATACAGACTTGCAGGCACACATATTCTCATAACTTAGAAAATTCAAATCCTGTATACATGCATGAATTGAGATCATGTTTTTCTCTTACATCCCTAGTATTAGTCTTCGAGTTCACTATGTTGATTTTTTTTCTTTCTATAGTATATTCAGAAACATACTATTTACTTTTAAAATGGTCATTTTTTCCTATAATTAGGTGGTAGGTTGTTTGCAAATACTTAATTACAATATCCAATCTGCATACACTATTGGCTTAAAGAGAAAACATGGTTACAAATGAAAGAATAACATAAACCCCATATATCTTATTTTTCATTAATAGAAACAGGTGTAATTATTGGGCCCCAGCACTTCAGATGCTTTTTGTTTAAATTACTGTGAATGACAGAATTGAATCCCTCATTGAGGTTTTTACCTTTCAAAAATGTTCACTTTTATTGAGCATCATTCCTGACTCAATTCTATGGCTATAATTTTAAAATAGTAGTATCAAAGCTGCAGACTAATAAGAAAATGTGTTGAATAGCTATACCTCTGCAGAATTCTACTTGCTAAACAGGAATATACCCTACTTTCAGTGAGTATAAAACAGGACATTTTAAATAAAAGAAGGTGTCAGTCATGTTTCCTAAAACCTTCTGGCAGCAGGATACAGAAATCACAAATGGGAACAAAGTTCAGGAGCAGTGGGGAAACAGTTTAAATGCTGCAATGGGTATTGTTGCCCTGTGAGTCAAATGAACAGGGCTTGAGTGCTGATTCCATGCTTGTCAGGAGCAGATGGACTATACCTGCTTGGTTCCTGCTCCAGACTTCGAAGCAGAGTTATTGGGATGCTATGTCCTTGAGATTGTAGGAGGGCTTCAAAGAAACCATACCCAATAATTGTACTTTTAAAAAGCAGCATAAGAGTAAGATACCATGCGACAGCGTTCACATAGAGGATTCTTTTTTTTTTCTAATTGATTTTATTGAGCTATACATTTTTCTCTGCTAGAGGGATTTTATTAGGGGAAAGGGAATGTAAAAAAGTGGGAAGGGAGACTGAGCTCTGAGGACAGGAGCAGCAGAAGAGAAGAGAAGAGGCAAAGGGAGGAGAAGGGAGGGGAGGGAGAGAGGAGAGAGAGAAGGGGGAACACAGACAGACAGAGGAGCAGAGAGAGAGGGGGAAACAGATAGACAGAGACAGAGAGAAAAAGAGAGATAGGAGGTGAGCAGGAAGTGCTCTTAGGCTTTGTGTGGCTATAGCTGAGGATTTAGCCTGTCAGAACCCCAACGGCAGGCCAGTACTAATACCCAATAAATAATCAACTTTGAGGGTCTGAGTAGTTCAGAGGAAAACGTGGCACACTGTCCTTGTTTCAGCCCACTCACAAAGGGCATTTACTCCTAAAAGTGCAAAGTTAGGTTTCCAGAATGTAACATCTGTCTTAGAAGATTAGCCACAAATGTGATCTTGGGTACTTGAAATGACCGAGTTAGGCTAAGAACCTGAGTTTATGATGCACTAAAATAGCTACATGTATCTAGTGGGTTCTGTATCAGACTCAGCAGTTACAGATATGCTTATATCTCTTTATCTCTTTGACTGCCAGGAGGTATAAGTAAGTAAACTCATTTTAGAAATACGCCATTGAATTAAAAATAAGAAAAAGTAATGGGTGAGCCAGTGAACTCAGCCAGTGGGTCTTCCCTGGGTCACTTGAGACCACCACAGTGGCAATGATGCTAGTGTGTTTCTCATGTCTACCTCTCCATGGATGTTTTAATCCATGGGGGGGGCTTTTCTTCTGCTACTTTTCTGCTTTTCAGATAACGGCAATAAGTTAACCAAAATCTGTTTTCATTGCAGCCAATAGCTGTGAGTTTGAAGATTCCCTTAGTAACTGTGAGGCCTTGAAGAAAACAGCAGGCTGTGAACATGGTCTGCTGAGGGAAAAGTGCCAGGCTACCTGCCTGTGTGAAAACAAAATCCATTAACATGTTCAGGGCACAGCAAGACGGACTTCATGAAAAGGGGATGCGGTTTTCAGCTGAGGCATGCCAGGGAAACCTAGAGGAGATTAGCGCCAAGTTGGATCCCAAATGACAAAGCTTTTCCCTCCCTGGATTTACACGGAAGTCTCTTTCATCCAGCTATTTAAAAAGGTGTCATTTAGGATGACAACTTTGGATTATGACCAAGTTTGGTGCTGTAAACATAGTGGATAGAGTTGGATGCAGAATTTTGAAAGTTGTATGAACACAGGTCATCATTCATCACTAGAACTTTGAAAAAAAAGAGCTATGTGTGTCCGAAAGCAACTTGCAATAAGATAATGGACTGTAATAATGTCACCACCAGTCTATTCTACAGTGTCTCCCAGGATGAAGCTTGACATCTGAATTTGTCCTATGTCCTTTTAATTAATCACAAGTAAGCATCGTTTTCAATAAAGAACTTCGGCAACTACACAGATGCAATTTTCATGTAATATTTTTTGTTTTGTTTTTCTAGACAGAACTTCTCTGTGTAACAGTCTTGCCTCTCCTGGAACTGGCTTTATAGACCGGGCTGGCCTTGAACTCTCTGAGATCCACCTGCTTCTGCCTCCAAAGTTCTGTATTAAAGGTGTGCAACTCCACTGTCCAGGTTAATTTTTATGTAACATTTATATATTATGTCTTTTTAAAGTCAAGTGGATGTGGAGCTAAGACTTGGAACAAGTTCTTAGAATAAATGACCTTATATTGTATACCTAGAGGATTCATTGCTACTATTAAGCACATTCATTCTTGCTGTAGACCCATGAGTATCCGTGGAAATCTACAGAAATAACATTTCTTCACTGTTGCTTTGAGAAACCAATTGTCTCATAAGCTGTTTTGTATCATTTCCACTTTTTAATTTTTTATACAGTGTCATAACGGTGTACTCACAAATGAACTGTTTTAATTTGACTTTTTGGAAAGTCATATATTAGTCAGGTTTCTCTAGAGGAACTTATAGAATGGATCTATATTTATTAAAAGGTGGTTTATTAGATTGGTTTATAGGTTGTCGTCTAGTTAATCCAACAATGGCTGTCTCCTGACTAAGTCCAAGAAGCTGGTAGTGGTTCAGTCCACAAGACTTGGTGTCTCTCCTGTTCTTCAATCTACATGGAATCTCTAAGAAATAGGTCCTAATATCAGTGAAGGAATCCCTCAGCTACACTCACAGATGCATTTCCCAGCATAAGAGTGAGGACAAGCAGGCAAAAAGCACAAGCTTCTTTCTTCCATGTCTGCTTACATTGGCTGCCACCAGAAGGTGAGGCCTAGATTTAGGGTGGATTTTCTGAAGACAATGACCCTGATTTAGTGCATATCTTGGAGCGTCAAATGATCAAATCAGGAAAAATCCTTCACAGTTGCACCAGGCTGCTTGGGTTTCAGCTGATTCCAGATGTAGTCAAGTTGATAGCCAAGATTAACTATCACACGTCATATTCACAAATGTCTCCAAGCTACTTCCATGACTCAGTGGGTAGACGGGATGATTTGTCCTTTAGTTTGGTAAAGACTTTCAACACAGAAAGGCACTCCCCAAGTCTGTGGGAGATCTTTGCTAAGCAGGAAACACACTAGCAGGTTTGGAAGCTCGTGGAGACCCCTCACATCTCATACCCTTCTCTCTACATGCTTTGCTAAGGGAACTTCCAAGTCTGTATTCTTGCATCACATGTATACCACATATACTTCATTTTGAAGGCTGTTTGAAATTGGAACACCTTTGTGTTCCAGGACAAGATATCTTACAATGTGCTACTTAGTAATTTCATTTGAGGACTTTCCAGCACTTTAAACTTCACAGAATAAGTTGGGTTTCTGTTTTCTCTCGTTTCAATCCTGAGTTTAAAAACATATCTTTCCCACAGTTAAAAAGCACTCCTCTGTTCTTTATTAACTAGGTAATGGGCCATCCTTCCCATCCATGGCCTGAAATCCTGACCTATTCTAATTTATCTTCCTAGATTGTGGTCTATGTGGTTTCCAGTCTAACATATTTGTCTGTTCTGGCTTGTTTTCCTTTACTGTGCCTTAAGTGGTCTCAGACATTAGGCACCCATCTATTTGGCTTTGTCTTTCTGGGTTTCAGCTTGTGGCTACTGTTTTCTGACTTATTTTACAGTTATAATTGTGAGAATAGATTACATATCCTCCATTCCCAGAAGCAGCATCATGAGACATGTTCTGGCGAATAAATCTATTTGCTTTAGGGAAGCAGATTTCTTCCTAGATAAAACTGGAATTGTAAGGCTAATGGGTAAAGATCTTTAGGGTTATGTACTTTTCTCTTTTAGTATACTTATGAAGGTCTGTGTTTATGCTATTATATCTTATGATATTAAAAAAAGGAAAAGGGATCCAGAAAGCAGAACAGAGAAAATGGTTGCAATGATTTAAGTATAAAATTTATTTTGTTAAAAAAATTAAAGGAAAAGGAAAGACACAAAGATTAGATTATAAATCAGGCTGGTCTTAAATTAGAATATTCCAAGAAATGATAGACAAAAATATAACGAGAAACTCAAACTAGGTTATAAAATGGTCATGAAAATTAAAACAAAGAATTGAAATGTGTATAACTATAGTGACTATAATTACAGGATTTTTAAATTCTTCAGATCAAAATTCAACATCCTGGTATATACCTAAAATGTGGTACTGTGTATGTCAAATATATTTTCTTTTTTATTGTTTTTATTGAACTATATATTTTTTTCTGCTCTCCTCTCTTCCTTTCCCCTCCCAACTATATTTTCTGGAGATAGTGATCTGCTTTGGGTAAGATAGACAAAGGTACATCTTTTTAATTTGTTTAAATGACTTCTAGATGGCTCAGCAGCAGGCTCAGCAGCTAAGAGCATTTATTGCTATTCCAAAGAATCAGAATTCAGTATGTCAGGAGAGCATAATCTCAATGTCACATTCTAAAATAACTATGTTTAAATTTCATACATCAAAGACTCTTCTTTAGTTTTCAAAACACTTTCAACCATTTTTTTTCTTTTCTCCTGGTTCCCATGAACTATACCGAGGCAAACCTCCCACCTTGATCTCTTTGTTTACATATATATGTGTATATATGTATACATATAATTACATATATGTGTATATATGTATAAATATAATTACATATATGTATATATGTGTATAAATATAATTAGGCACAGAAGTTCTTTTCAAGGACATTCAGGGATACCTTGGAATTTAGAAATAATCTTAATGAATGCATTTTATTGTATGATGAATATAATTTCTCCTTTTCAGTGTATTCGACTTAATAACTAATTTCTGTGATGCAATGTAATCTACCCAATTCATTTGTATTATTACGTGTGTGTGTGTGTGTGTGTGTGTATGCATGTAATGATGACTATACACCATTCTATACATGTGAATGTCAGCTGACAATCTGGATATTCATAATCTTCATAGTGGTTTGAATAGAAAAGGTCCCTATAGGCCCATAGTGAGTGGTGCTATTAGGAGGTGTGGCCTTGTTTGAGTGGGTATGTATGGATTTTTGGAGGAAGTGTGCCACTGGGGATGGGTATGGAGGTCTTGGATGCTCAAATCAGGCCACATGTCTCAATCTCTTCCTGCTACCAGTCCATCCAATCTAGATGTAGATCTCTCAACACATCACCAATACCATGTCTGCCTGCATGACACCATGCTTCCCACAAAGATGATAATAGACTAAACCTCTGGGCTGTAAGTCGGTTCCAACTAAATATTTCATTTTGAGTTTTCATGGTCATGGAGTCTATTCACAGCAATAGAACACCAAAGTAAGGTGTTTTCCTTCCACATGTGGTTCCGAAGGATTGAACTGAGGTCATCAGGCTTGGCTGAAAGTATCTTTGCTATATGAATGATCTTGCTAGCCCAAATGTAGTTACTTTCATTTACAAAAAAATCAAATAAAAAAGATATGTAGATATAAAGATGTGTTTTGATAAAAAGAATGTTAATATTAAAGAGCAATATTTTTGTACAATGGATTTATTAGGGAGAATTTATAAATCATTATTAAAGATAAAGGAAAAACTATAATGTTTTGATAAGTATAATGAGAATTGAAATTAAACAGATAACATGATTACACCTGAGACATCATGAGGTACTTTATATTTTTCACTTAATTAACCATAATTTTTTCTCGTACAATATAATGTAAATACAATTTCTCTTCCCTCTACTCTGCCCTGTTCCTCCCTTCCTCCTTTCCTTCTCATTTACTCAGTTTCTGTCTCTTATTAGAAAAGAAGAGACATCTAAGCAATAACAATAAAACTGAAGAAAATATAAGGTAAAATGAAAGCCATCATATAGAAGTTGGACAAAATAGACCAAGAGAAAAATAAATGAACACTAAGAGAAGGAACAAGAATCAGAGACTCTTTTGTTTGTACATCAGGAGTCCCATAAAAATACTAACTAAAAGCTATTGTATATACACAGAGGACCTGTGTCTACCCTATGGTTACTGTTCCAATCTCTGTGTGTTTACACGAGCTTTGCTCAATTGTTTTAAAGGACCTTGTTCTGGCGTTATCTGTCTTCATTAAGAGGCACATTATATAAGATAACTGAATTTTCAAAATTGGTTGCCTTTCACAGTGAACTCCTTGGAAATGACACCACGGAGAGATATTCTTTTAGAAAGATTCCCCTCCAGTCTAGTGTCAAAGACTCTACTTTTAGTAGTCTTGAATTCTTTGTATATTCTTAAAAGGTAAAAATTAAACTAATTCCAATTTGGTAAAGCTACAGAAGAAGATGACATTGTCTTTACATAATTTGTGGTTTGGTGCAAATGTTGGCTTACCCGGACATGCTGTGTCACTACCGATTAGTAAGGATTAGCCAATGTCTTTATAGTATCTTTTCTACTAAGACAGTGGAAGAATAACTTGGTAAGCAGAATTCCAATCCACTTATTCTAGTTAGGGAATACCCAATGGTTTTAGAGTAACTCTTGGTAAGTCTAAATTAAAATTCCTACTTCCTTTAACTATCACATAACTTTTAAAGATATAATGTGATCTTGATTTATTTTAATTTTAGATATAGTACTTCAATGATGTCACATGTTAATATATACAGAGGATAAAACAGTAAGTAATCAATCTATATCATGATAGTTAGGAGATCTATATGATCTACACATTTCCTCTTTCATTGCTTTGACAATCATCTCTTTCTCCCAGAGATCTACCTTGATTTATACTAAGCTCTATTTCCTTGAGATTCTAAGAATATTCTTTATGACCATATGAAACATGAGACAACACTGGCCTCAGGAACAAGATGTGTTACTGGGAATCAGGGGGAACTATAAAGTTCCAAAAAGAAATCTTGAGTTCTTAGTGCCTTGTCAGGGTTTTCATACCAGTATGGGTTTCATTTGCCACCACATATGG